GCCTCCAGCAGGGCTGACGACGTTGGACGAGGCCTGCGCTGCTCGCGAGGTGGCCGAGGAGCGGCTGGCGTCGGCCTTGACGGCAGCCACGGCGGCCGAATGGGCGGGCGTGGGGCTGAGGCTCTTCTGCAGACTCGGGTCGCGAGGCTTGTCCGAGGCGGCGTCGGCCTTGTCCTTCTGCACCATGTCGGCGACGTCCGAGGGCATAGGGGTCTTGAGCTTGAACGAGCTCGCCCACGACTTGAGATCGGCGAGACGCGTGTCCTTCTCCTTCTTGGCGAGCGCTGCCTTTTTCTTTTCGAGGCGCTCGCGCTCGGAGCTGACGAACTGGCGGAAGTCGCCCATGAGCGGGTTGGCAGCGTCGATGGAAGCCTTTTTGCCTGCGGCGTCCTTGGACGTGGGCTCCTGAGGAATGCTGGGGCTCGGCACCTTGACGTTGACGGTAGGCAGGTTGGTGGCGACGGGAGCTGGTGCTGCCGAGACCACGTCGGCGGGTGCGGCTGGAGCGGGAGGAGCAGCACCGTTGGACTTTGCCGGAGCAGCGGCAGCGGGCGCAGCTGGCGAGGGCTTCTTGGCAGCTACCGTGGCTGCGCCAGCGCCCGACTTGTTGCGGAGCGCAGGCGGGACGTAGGCGTTGGGGTTGCGGACGACAGCGCCGTACTTGTCCTCCTCGTTGACGCCCGAGTCATCGGCGTGGCCCCTCTCTTCGGCCATGTGGGGATTGTTGGTGGCCTGGCCCATGATTTCGCGCGCGATGCGGTCTGCCTCGCGCTCGCGGTCGCGGAAGTCCTTGCCGGTGCGGTCGAGCTTTGTGGTGTAGAGGTTCTCCTCGTAGTTGGACTTGATGCCGAAGCGTGCCTCGTTGGCAGCAAACTGGTCCCAGGGCTTGTTGCTGTTGGCGTCCTCGAGGCCTCCTACGCCGCTGGCTTTGGCATCGCTGGGAGAGGCCCATGCTGGGAGCTTGGAGCTGTGATCGTCGAGGTCGGCGAGATCGGGGTCGTCGGACCATTTTTGGAGGGCTCTGCCGGTTCCGAGCGGGTCGAAGGCCTTGGAGATCTCGGTGTCGGTTCGGAAGGCCTCCTTCTCACGCGCCTCGCGCATCTCCTTGGCCTGGTCCTGCACGCGCACCTCGGCAGCTTGGATGCTCTCGAGATCCTTTGCGTTGATGAGCAGAGATGACTTGAGAGCGCCGAGCTGAGGCTGTCCGTCCCTGACGTCTGCGGGAAGGATCTGCTGGGCGGAGGCGAGTGCGACGCCGAGCTCGCCGCCTTCAGTGTTGGCGGCCGAGAAGATGCCAAAGTACTGGGAGCCGCCCTTGATGGTGACGGTGACGGGGTTGCCGACGAGCGTGACGAGGAGGAACATCATGCGGTCGTGCATGAGTTGCTGCGAGTCGCCCTGGGCGGAAGCGGGAGCCGAGGCAGGGGAGGCGGACGACTGCTGCTGGTTGTTGGACTGGCTCGGTGGTGCTGCAGTGCGTTGGTTGGCGGCCTTAGCGCTGTTGTCAGGAGCGGGCCGGGCGCCTGGCACGTTTCGAGGTTGAGCGTGGGGAGCAGAAGCAGCGGTGTTGGCAGGGGGACCGTTGCCCCACCTCGAAGGCTGCGGACCGCCAGCGGAGGCGCCACCTCGACTAGCAGCATTAGCACCGCCGCGGCCTCCAGCATGATTGTTGCCAGCTCCGCGAAATCCCGAGTTGGAAGCACCGCGCTGGGCGGATGCGCCGCGGGCGTTGCCGTTGGAAGCCATGACGAGCGTCTTGCTTGGAAAGGAGGGTGAGTCGAAGAAGAGGATCACCTGGTGCGATCAGCGTCGCATGTGCGCCAGCTTTGCGGACGGAGACTGGCTGGGGCGCAGGCCGGGCCGCTCTGGCGGTCGTCCAAGCTCGTCAGCCAACCTGAAGCACGGCAGGCGTGGCGTGGCGTGGCGAGGCGAGGATGAGAGGCGCGAGGAGCGCAGAGTGGGCGGGAATGGGGAGGAGGGAAGATGGCCAAGGTGGGTGTGGAGCGAGGAGAAGGAAAAGCTAAAGGATGCCGAGCAGCAATGGCACGGCTGGTCTTTCCAGACGCACTCGATGCAGCAGCAGCACCAGCAGCCGCCTCAGGATCAAGGTCCGTTCAGTTGGCCCAGTCAAGTCAGTTGGCCAACTCTGGGCCCAGGCAGAGCCCGAAGAAAGCAGCGAGCGCGCCTCGAGTGGGCGGTGGGCGGCGGCAGAGCAAACAGCCTCGAGCCAGCCTCACCCCTCGATGCCACTCTCTGCGCCCGCACAGACACTTACTTTGCTGCAAAGCGCAGGCACCAGACGACCCGACCACCGTTTTTTTCCAGCCCACGCTCTCTGCTTTTTGCCTTTCCCCCGATCTCAAAGACAAATTTCAAATTTTGAAGTTTTCGAGACGCCTAAATTGTAGTGCCTCTTTCTCTCCAACGCTTCTCGTCCCGATCCCACTCGCGCTCTGCTTCTCAAGCCTCTCATGCTTCTCAGGCTCATCAGGCTTTTCAGCAAGGCCAGGCAGAGTGATGGTGTACATGAATTCTACAGCGATGCATTTTGATGGCATTCGAGTCCCCATAGCGTACATAGACGGAAGAAGCGGTGCTGTTCAGAGCTCGGTGCGAACGCTGGATGACCCTTGCCACCGGATCCAGTCGAGCCAGCCCGAGATCCTGGTGGCGTCCGAAGCGCCTGCGCCGCGCGCATCCGACCGCGACGGCCACCAAGCTGCTTGCGACGTGGTGCTGCCAAACCCGAGCGTGCTGCCGATGGGCACCTTGAGCACGCGCGCGCAGATCCACACGGCTCCTCCGCCGCCGACGACGACGAGACCAATGTAGCCCCAAAACTGCCATCGGTTCGTGCTGAAGCTGAGCGCGTTGCGGTCGTTGCCCCCCTGCACCGCCCCCTTGGGATCGACGGCGATGGCACAGATGAGCCCATACAGATCGGCCACCTGTCCATCGCGGATGCTGATGTTGAGCGGTCCCGCTCCGAGCCCCGGGATCTTGAGCCCCAGCTTTCGGCAGTACGAGTCGGGCTGCACCTCGTGCCGTTGCTGCGCCAGATCCAGATCCGCCTTGGTCGCCACAAACAGCGACGGCATCGACTGCAGCAGCGGATACTGCTGGCGAAGATTCGAAATGTAGCTGAACGAGTTGGTGTCGCTCGAGTCGTACACGAACACAATCACGTCCGCCGCCGAAAGCTTGGCCGTGTTGCGCAGCACCTCGGCCTCGTATCGCGACCCGAACTCCTGCAGCACCAGATAGCGCTCCGCACCCGCCTGCTCCACCGTGCTCACCACGCTCATCATCTTTTGCGTGGGCTCGTACGCGCTCTCGAAGCGCTTGCCCACCATGTTGCGCAGCATCGCCGTCTTGCCGCTCCCCGCCGCACCGAGCACAAAGCCGAGGAAGACGCTGCGCTGGATCGCACCCTTCTTCTTCTTGTCCGTCTTTCTCGGCCGCGTCAATTTGAGCGCCGAGGTGGTGGAAGGGGGCGATGGTGCGTGGTTGCGCGACGGCCGCGACCCTGGCGGCCCAGTAGGCGTGAGTGGTGTGGGCGAAGGCGCCGATGTGCTTGCGGATGAACCCGACAACGGAAAGGACGGATATCCGAGATAGGCGAGGTAGGCGAGCGTGGTGCGGTGGTCGAGCAGCGTAGTCATGCTCCACTGCGCAAGCCAGCCTTGAAGTGTCACGGCGCCGTGCTCGTCGGTGATTGTGGACGCAGGGAAGCCGGTACCCTGCCACGGGTGGCGACTGTCGGGCGCGGTGATGAAGAGGCTGTCGAGCTCTTCCTCGCTGAGCGCGCCGTCGCGGTCCTTGTCGTGCACCTCAAAGATATCGGTGAGGAATTGGTAGCCCAGGGGCGAGAGCTCCACCGAGCACTCTGGTGGCACCGCAAATGCAGGCTTGACGAACGAATCCTCGAGCGTGAGATCGGCTCCGTAGCCGAACGTGCGCAGCACGGTCCATGTGGTCTCGAGACGCCCGCGTTGAATGAAGAGAGTGTGAAGGTAGAGGAAGCCGGCCATGGTGAGGCTGCCCTCGCGCAGATGCGGGTGGTGGGCGGGCGCGTCGCCGTTGATGCTCGATCCGGAAGCGGCGACGCTGGCGTTTTCGTGGCTGTAGCGCATGCCGGCGATGGGAGCGTGGATGACGAGGTCCTTGATGCCCTCGAGCTCCTGCGCCTGGAGCGGCGTGTCGAAGCACTTGCGCTGGAACTCGTTGAGCTCGGCGTCGCTCAGCAGACCGTCCTTGTCCGAGTCGCAGAGGCGGAAGATGCGTTTCAAGGCGTCGACGCATCCGGGTTTGAGCACGTGCTCGCGGCTGTCGTAGAGCGGTGCTGTCGGGTAGAGGACGGCCTTTTGGGCAAAGTAGAACACCTCGCTGACGTTGAGCGGGATGCGTGCGGAGCACTCGACGCACGTCTCCACCTCCTTGAACTCGGCCATGACGGGTGCGAGCTCATCTTCGAGCGCGGCGTTGGTGACGTCGCCGGAGCGCAGGTCGATCTTGTTGCCGACGAGGATGACGGGCACGTTGATGCCGAGCGAGCGGATGTAGGGCAGCCAGTAGGTGGGGATGCGGTCGAAGGAGGAGGGTGCCGAGATCGAGTAGACGATGCAGATGACGTTGGCGCGACGCAGCTCTGCCTCGAGATTGGCGCGGTGCTCTTGGCTGGAGCTGGTATCGACGATCTTGGTCACCACCGCTTCCGGTGCCACCTCGGGCGGGAGCGTGATGGGTGGTACGACCTTCTGCACCTTGGCCACGTAGGCCTCTTTGACGAGCGAGGTGATCAGTGTGGACTTTCCTACATCCGGATCGCCGGCAAGGACGATGCGCACGTCCTTGCGCATCGTGGTAGTGTGCCTAGGGTCGCTGGCAGGCTCACGGGGCGATTGTGCGCAGCTACGGGCGACGAAGGGATGAAAAGCCGGAGCGGTAGGAGGAGGCGCTTTCGACCTGCACAGTCGAATGTGCAGGCGGGACGAAGCTCGCTAGACGATCACAACGAGCTGTTGGGTGGGCGCGACGGGCACAAGCAGCGGCCGGGTGCGGCGATGGTCGAGTGTGGCGCGACGAACGAATTGGGTGACGAATCGGAGCCGGAGAGATGCACTGCGCGGGAAGAGGAGCACTGCAACGATGGCGAGGGCAGGTCCGACTGGTGTGGTTATCGGTGCTGATGTTATTCGCTGACCAGAGTCGACGAGGGTGAGGACGGCGAGACGAGGTGGTAGAGAGGGTGCGTTTGGTGTCGAGGTGTCGAGGGCGGCGTTGCCAGACATCTCGAAAGATACTTCTCTCGAACACGCCCTCGCAGAAGCGAGTTTCTGAGTCTGAGCCTGAGCTCTGGACCTCAGAGACACACACACACACACACACACACACA